CTTTTGAATTTATTTTACAAAACTATTAAAACCTTGGTCTAGCACAATAAAAGAGCCATTAACCAATAATACCTATTTACAAAGAAAAAAAACTGAAAATGAAATATTGTAAATCAAATCCAGTGGCAAATTTAATGAATAAATCACTAGGATAAGGATAATTAAGTCCAAGTCAGCAAAAACAATCCAACATGAAGAAATCTCTAATATAAAAACCACCATATAACTAGATTAAAGGAGAACACTCGTGGACATTTTGATTGAGGCAAACAATGTCAGATAAAATTCAACAATGATTCCTGATCAAAACTCAGAAAGGAACTTATATCAGGAATAAAATTTATCTACCTAAAATATCTGGTCAGCATCACTCAGTGATGGAATATTAGAGTCATTCCCATGTAAGTCTGGAAGGAGTTGTGTTGGCTGTCTTTGCTCTGATTCAACACTGCCTTTTGGAAAGCCCAGCAATTGCAATAGGACAAGGGACAAGAAATAAGAGGCACAGGTATCAGAGAAGAAGAAAAAGGCTTGCCAGTTCTGAAGGTTGTACGCATACACACAACTCATAGGCAGCACACAAACCCATGGCCTTGTGTTTATAAATGTATAGAGATGGATCTAGGAGGTGCCAAACTGTGAACCATGGCTTCATCTGGAGAGGGAAGAAGGAGCAGAAGGAGTGAAGGTAAAGAGGAAACTTGAACTTTTATTCTTTTATAGTTTATTGAATGTATTTGTTTTTAAAATGACAGCTTTCATAAATTAAAAAAAAAAAGGATTTAAACATCAAAAGTTAGATTCAAGGCTCAGACTCAGGCTATGAGTTATCAAGTTAGTTCCACGTAGTGGGTTTTGTATTTTAGAAATCAGAAAGCAAAAGAAAGGTGGAGTCACTGAGAAATGCCCACCAAGAATTAGTCATTAAGGGCATTATGCTGGTCCTTCATTTCTACTTGAAAATAATACTCCAGGGACGAAGAGGGATCCCTAGCTTAGGAAGCAACTCTACATCCATAATTTAATTTGACTTATTCCTTAGGATATACTTTTATCTGTGACAAGAAAATGTCTTAAAGTGGTGACCCAAAGGACATACCCTAAACAGATTATTTGAGACTGTAGATATAGACTGCCTCCAACTTTCAAAGCCACAGAGAACCTCTGCTCAGAAGATCTGCTTAYGGACAGATGGACTGGGTCGCTCCCACTGTATGCTTCTCAGCTATGCCTTCATTCCAGAACACACCAGGTTCTTTCTTTTTTCTAGGGTTCTACGGATGTTTTCCTCTGCCTGGAATGTCCTCCCTCCCCCTGTTACACTTTAAATGCGTACCCACCCATCAGAAACAAGCTAACCCAGCTGTCCTGACTGCTCCCCTTCAGAAGATCTGCTTCCAAGGTTGGCCCTTGGCTGGCATCTGGGAACATGGATTTGGGGAGGGTCCTGCCATTCCTGGAACTGATAGGAGCAGCTCTCTGTGCCTATACTGTACAAATGGWTTATGATGAACACCTGTTTTCCTTCTGGGTGTCTGGAAATTTGGCATATAGCAGGCAGAGGGTGCCTATGTGGTCAGTCCTAATAAAGACCCCAGGCCCTGAGTCTCTTAGAAGCTTCTTTGGTTGCCAACACCTGCTCTCCTGCCCCAGCCACCCAATGGCCCTCTCTGTCTTTCATATCCTTTCTCAGAGGCTGGACAAACACATGAACACATTTTGGGTAATGGCTGCATTTTAAACATGTTGTTCTACCACTTGCTTTTATTACCTAACAACAAATATTGAATTAAAAATATATTTACTTTTGACTTTTAATCTTACAAATGGAGATATAATTCACATCTTATAATATGCGTTCTTTAAAGCATGCAATTTGGAGTGGAGGTGTAGCTCAGTGGTAGAAAGCAGGGCCCTGGGTTCAAACCCCTCATAAAACAAAACAAACAAACATATTAAAAAACCCCAAACCAAACCAAAACAAAACAGGATACAATCTCTGTGATTTTTAGTATAGCCACAAAATTGTGCAAGAATCTCTACTATCTAATTCCAAAACATTCTCATCACCACAAAAAGAAATCCTGTATCCATTAGCAGCCAGGATACTTATTTTTAATTTTGATAGGTTTTGCCATATTGTTCCATCAAAATTTTTTTAAAAAACCCTTTTGACTAACTTCTGGTAATTTATTTCATACAATATATASATCTGAATAAGTTTCTACTTGCCTCTCTTTCCCTCTCCCTCCATATAACAATATCTCACTGGTCTTATATGACAAAGTCCAGAAAAGAAAAGGCAAGCCTTCCACCCCTTGCCCCCATTATTCTGGGCATGCTGCACAGAAACTGGGTCCTGACAAGTCTCACACTCACAAGTTCACTGCAAGTCCTGCCTGACTAACCATTTAGTTTTAAAGGATACATCCAGTCTGCACCAGCATTTGCCACCCTGACCTTGTCAAGGGCAAAGGCATTATATTGACCTCAGTTTTCTTAGTTTAAGGAGATCAGGGGCTGAAGCTATACCACGTTGTCCTGTCCTTGTGATGGTGCCAGCCATTGGATGCCAAACAAGGCTTGCCCTGCGTCATGCACCCCTCCCCGCACCTGCAGGCCCCCACTTATCTGGAAGAACGGTGCACCCTAGAAAACGGACTGTGAATTGTTCCCAGGATTTGCTGCTTGGCTGCCAGCCCCAGTCTGAGAGCACAGCCAGCCAAGCAGCCCAAGGTGGACGACACCTTCTTCCCCTTTCTTCCTCTCCTTCTRTGTTTTTTAGGAACGTCCAGAGGGAAGATAATTAAAACCTGCAAGAAATCTGGCTGGCAGAGAAAAAGAAAACCTTGGTGACGACGCCACATGTTTATGGGTAAGTTTTGTAAGTAACACGGCAATAAAAAAAAAAGAGGCTCTTATAAATAAATGCCACATTCTTCAAAGCTCTGTATAAACGACATTCTTTTTAAGGAGGTAGGGGGGCTTATGCATACTCATGTTCCTTCTCATTTCATTTCCAACAATGGGAAAGGAATCCTAAATGTACAATTTCCTAGGAACACAGGAGTTGTGGAGCCAACAGCACAGAAATACACCCACACTCATATATGCGTACACACACACACACACACACACACACACACACACACACTTTCACGGGCAGGGGTGGGGAGAAGAAAAGAGGAGAAGGTACTGGAAGATCTTTATTTCACAGAGCTGTTAGCACAGAACCAAGGAGCAGAAGGGCAGGCATCTCCCTACCCCTGCTAGGGTTTTCTGACTGTTGAACACACACGCTTTTAACTCAAAAGACAGAAGCTTTGCAATCCTCTCCTGAGTGAGTGTTGAGTGCTGTCTGACCAACATCAAGATCAGGGTGAGCCTGTGTAATCCCCTTTCATTATTCCTCTGCTTTAGTGATTGTAAGGTGAAACAGAGCCGGCTGCCTCTCGCATGTGACACAAGGCTCAGGGACTCACATTCCAGAGTGGCCCTCCCCAGGAACCAGCTGCGGGCAGGTAACTGAAGCAGCCCTTGGCCTTGCTGTTAATAAGAGTAATTGGCACGCCACTGAGGGGCTGCTGGAACACAGTGATTTGCTCAGTAAGGGGGTCTCCCTTGACCATATGTGCAGGCAGCGGTGATAGAAATATTTTCCATATGAGCTTTCCCCTCGCCTGCTTAAGTGCTCAGGGCTGAGTTAGGCCAGCCCATTTGTCATTTACTCTACACAGTAAAAAATCAACAGGGAAGTTGCGAACCTCAGCTACAACTAGAGGGCAATGGTCTGCTTTCAGCTTCCAGCATCGCTAACCCATTCAGTTCCTCCAGTTCCCATTCAAAAGCTCGATCCCCCCACAGGCCCAGCCTGTATCTGGAGAGCAGAGGACATGGGTAACTAGCAGGCGAAAAGCCTACAACAAATGATCCGTTGCTGCACGCCTCAGAGCCGCACGTCTATTTTGAACAGAGCAAGGAGCCTGCCGAAACCACAGCTGGCTCTGCAGCCGGGCTGGGGACCGCTCTCACTTCCAGACCTCTCAGAAAAGGGAAAGTAATTACATTAGGCTTTCAGAGCCAGCTTGGTCCCTGACAAGGCTAACAAAAGGCGAAGCTGTGAAGTGGCCTGGTGGCCTTTTCTAAGAGATACACTTTTCACTTGGCTTTTCAAAGAGGAAGACAGATTTGGGAGAAAGGCTGTCCCTTCATACTCAGCCATCGGTCTCTGAGCTTTTCCATCAAGGCACGGAGTGACAGGGGTGGAGGAGACCAACTGGTCACAGGCTTATTTGCAGGTGAAGCACTGAGTGCTTTCTCTCTGGGCTGAGGATCATCCCTTCCAGTTCTCTGCCTGTATCAGAAACTGGCCTCYAGAGGTCTCAGGAATGTTAAAAAAAATGTAACCAGTAAACACATGAGCTAAACCAATAAGAGCAAATCATCTTCATGGCCTTAAAACATGCTTCTCTCTATGGTAGATCCGAGCACACTCTAGCCCCACTGGACATCACTGTGCCTCTTCAAACCTATGATAGAAAGTTATGCACAGGTCCTCCAAGCACATCAAAGCAAAATAAGAGAAAAATGTGGTGTAGAAGCAGGAAAGAAAGACCAATCCCTCTTGCATGCATATTCTCTCTGCAGCACTGGAGAAAATTTCCCCAAAGGGAATTTCCTTTCCTGCCTTTGTACCAGTCCCTACTGGAATCTGACATACCACATATTTTGTTCTGCAACAGCATCTGTCACCCAGGCCAGCTCCCCAGTGTGGCAACTATACAGACAGGCTCAGAATGAAATTTTAGAAAGTACAGGATTCTTCAAGAAGAAAAGAAGTCTTCATATAAGAAAAGGCAAGAGAAGCCTAAAAAAGCAATAGCAAGCATTATTCTCTGCACACCATAAAAACCCATTGCCTGATCCCTGTTGGTAGATAGAAGATGAAATTTAATGCTGACAAAAGTATAACTTCTGACAAGATATTTTATTTGGCTTACCTCTCCCCCAGGTCTTGCTAACATTGCTGTTTGAACGTGGAGCAATGTTAATATCAGGTAGCTGACAAACATTATTACCCAAAGTTAGAGCTACCCTAGAGGAGAACTCCGTCTGCCAAGTGCTAACAGCTAGCAGATGCACTTGTGTCTCGGGATTCCAGCCCTGGAGTTCCGCTAGGCACCGCGCTGGTTCCCTCGGCTCTCCCTCACTGTACTACCCGGCGCTCCGAGCTCAGCCTCTGCTCTGAAGAAAACTGGTAAGCTGATCTCTTCATGTAATAACTTCTCCCGGCTGGGGGAGGGGACAGGAGCCAGCTGGGAGCTGGGGGGCTGCCTTTAACAGAAAGCAGAAAGGGGAGGGACAGAAATGATCAATGTGGAGGTCTGCATCTGGTCTCATTCATAAAAAGGGCTCCAAGGTAAGCACTTCACATGCAAGGGKACAGCCCCTGCCTCATCAATTGAGGTAGGCAGGAGGCAGCGAACTGCAGCAGAATGAGCTCCAGGCTGGGAGCTGGGAGGCTGGGGCCTTCCTTGTCCAGGATCTGGGGCTGACAAGAGCTGTGTGTACTGGGCCAGTTGCCATCCCTCTCTGGGTACAGTTGCTTGTTCGCACTAATACAGTCAAGCGTGGGTGGATGACTTCTGAATTCCCTTTTAATTCTGGATTGATGGTGACAGAGACCTAGGCAATCTGAGTTATGCATTATGAAGGGCAGCCTCCAAGGGGAAAGAAGTCACCAGGGTGCTGTGTGTTTGGGCAGCCATCATATGGATGTGAATGGACCAGAGCTGGGGAATCCACTATATCTTCCTCTTGCTGCATTCCTGGGCCACTGTGCCTAATTACTGTTGCCTGTAATGTAAAAATAAGTGGTAAGGTGGGAACAAGTGACTCCCAAGTATTAGGTAAGGCTGGCAGAATTCATGGAAATGCAGGATGGCTTTGAAGAAATAAAAGAGCTACCTCTTAGTTGGYTCAGAATGACCATCAAAATGGTGGCTGGGGACATGAGGAGTGTGGGGAGCAGGCTGCAGAACAGGCCTTGCTAAAGCTGACACAGGTCCACTTGAGACACAGTTCAGGGTCAACTCTGATTCAATGCCATAGCAAGGATCGTGTTCAAAGTGAACACTAAGCAAGTATTGGATTCTGCCGAGAATGGGCATATGGAACCATTCTGAGGTTGTTGGTGTCTGCAGGGGACAGAATGACCACATGGAGCAGTGGAAACAGCCCAAGGATCCTAGAATCAGACAGGTTCACTTCAAACCCCAGTTCTCCTAACTCCCTGTGGGTCTCTGGTCTCTGAGACACCCCAGTGAATCCCAGCCACTCATTCTGTGAAGTGAGGAAATACCCTCCAATGGTCAGGATGATTTACCAAGAGATCACTTAGGCACAAAATTGGCATTGTTCACCGCACAAAGTAAGTGCTAAAGACACGGGCTTTTTCCTTGATCTGAAGTAAGTATTGGCACTCAGTCCCAGAAAGTACACTTGAAAAGCCTCAGGTTATGGGCATTTCCCTAAATTAATGTGAAAACTTTAAACCTAACTGCAGTTTTCAGTCATCTCAGAGTTTATTATCACCAGTAACATGATGATTTACCGGTGAGGAGTTTTTCTGGGGTCCTGGGGAGGCAGCTGGGTGAGGGGGACTCACAATCCCTTTTCCAGGTCTGTGAGAGGCAGAGGTATGGTGAAGGGGGAGGAAGGAAGAAATGCACCCTCCTCCCCTCTTCTTCCTCCTTATTCATTATTTTTATAAAGCATTGGCTCTATTCTGCTACCTAACGAGATACTGCTGTTGACGCAGTAACTTCCCAGAAATAAAGGAATTATTTAAGAAAGTTAAAGTTTTTGAAAGACCAGGGTATTTCTTAGCCAATGGTTAGGAGTCTTTATAAAAAGGGCTGGATAGTAAGGATTTTCAGTTTTGCAGACCATATGGTTTCCGTGGTGACTATTCAACTCCACCATCACAGCACACAAGCAATCATATATGGGTAGGGTCACATTCCAAATAAAACTTTATTTATAAAGAATGTAACAGACCAGATTTGGTTGTAGTTAACCAACCTCTGGTCTACACACTTGCCAATCACCCTTCAGTCCATTACAGTCTGACCTTTGACATCTCTGCTCTACTACAAGGGCTCTGAAAGTATCTTCAATAGCCCCTTTGGTTACAAAATACAAAGGATAGTTTTTCAGCTTTTAAGTTATTTGACTTCTCTGCAGCATTAGCATGCTCTCCTTTTAAAAAAATATTGTGGTAAAATATATGCAACCTAAAAGTTACCATTTTAAACATTATTAAATGTACAAATCTGTGGCATTAAGTACAATGTTGTGCAACCATTATCACTATTTATTTCCAGAACTTTTTCATCATTCCAAGCAGAAACTTTGTACTTATTAAACATTGTCTCTCTACTTCCCACAGTCCTTGGCTTCTACCAACCTTTAATCTTCTTTCTTTCTCTCTGAATTTGCCTGGTCAGTATTTTACATGTGTGGAATCATACATTCATTGTCTTTTTTGGTCTGACTTATTTCACTTAGTACAATATCTTCAAGGTTGRTCTATGCTAGAGTGTACATCAAAACCTCAGTCCTTTTTAATATTAAATTATATTCCATTGTATGGACATATCACATTTGTTTATCCATAGATCTGCTGATGGACACTTATATTGTTTCTACCTTTTTGGCTATCATGAATAATCCTGCTCTGAACACGGGTGTATATATATCTGTCTGAGTTATAGCTTTCAGTTCTTTTGTATATATATGCTGGATCATCTAATAGTTCTATGCTTAACTTTCTGAGGAACCACCAAATTGTTTCATACAGTAGTGGCACTATTTTACAGTTCTACCAGCAATACACAAACATTCAATTTCTCTACATGCTTGCCAACACTTATTATTTTCCATGTTTTGATATTAGCCATCTTAGTGGGTATAAAATATATGTTCTCCTTTTTGAACCACTGCATTCCCATAGCTTCCTGGAAATCACTCTAGTTTTCTTTTGCCTCTGATTAGCCAACATTCTATGATCATGTTTTATCCTTGGAAGAAAGGAGGATAGTAAAAATACCATGTCTCTCAAGTTCTCCTCTCCATCCCAAGGACCTAGCCAAGTTAAGGGAACAATGGGATCAAGCCTGGGTCAGAATATCCAGACTAAATGTGCTAGTCATAGGGGGACAAAGCAAGGTAAACTGGTATTTCCACTGCTCTGTGGCCCATCTTATAAAATCCCTCTTCCTGTGATAACTGGCATGAAACAGAACACCTTGACTGGATGCACACAGCTGGTTGCCACTAAATAGAATGGAGAGGGATGGGAAGCACTGTTTTCTGGTGAAGCACGAGAGCCACCATGTAAACTAGAGGTGCACCTGTCCAAGCCCTTGCTACCAGTCTTCCTGTAAAAGCACCTCTCCAGCCTGTTGCCACTAGACTGTCCCCATAAGCATTTTTCAATAGACCTTATGTACACATTTCATCTCTTGGTGTCTCCTTTGGTCTCTCAGCCACCTATCCCACTGGCCTAGCACAACTGGATCATGGACAGTATGGAGCACTATAATCCTAGCATTATTACAAGAACTTTTCAGACAGCATCTCCTAAAACACCGATAACAGCCTTATTGGACTAAATAACTTGCCCCACGTCACACAATGAGTAATAAATGGCAGAGTCAATGTTCTGCCCCAAGCAGCCTGCCCCAGAGTTAATCTCTGCATGGCAGCATTGCAATGCCACCATTTTTCTGGACTCTCTCCATTCTCCTTGACACCTCCTGGGCCAATTTCCTAAATGCCTGTGTGCTAGGCCCTCTTTTTCCTCTATCCACCTTCCTTGGGCCATCTCATCACTTCACTGTCCTTAGCCACCCTTTATATACCCATGATTCTGACATGCAGGCCCACAGACCCAGGTACCTAGTGGATATGAGGATCTCTCAAATGTACTCCAAATTCGATGGGTCTAAATCAGAGCTTGCCTTTCCTTGAAACTTGTTCTTTCTGCCATTCCCTCCATCTTCATGATTAACATCATTGCCCATGACTCCCAGAGGCTGAAATCAGGCTGTTGTCCTGGTCCTTCTACCTCCTGACTTCCTTACCCAAACCATCACCAGGCCTTTTTACACTTCCTTCTAGAGTCTCTCCAGATTCCTTCTGCCCTGGCTCCCATCCTGTCTTCTACCATTTCTTCTTAAGAAGAGATCTCCTCTCATCTGCAGCAACCTCCTTGTTCTGGTCTTTTCTCTTTCCAGCCTCCTTTCTCAGCACAACCATTGAGATTCTTCTCAAAAGTGAGTCAATCATGTAACTCTTCTAATTTGTTAAATCTTTTTATTCTGAAATAATTATGTATTTACAGAGTAGTTGGGAAGATAGCACAGAGCATCATGGTATATCTTCAAGCAATCTCTTCCAGTATTAACATCTCAAATAACTATGKCATATTTATAAAAGCCAAGAAGTTAATATTATTACAATAATATTAGCTAATTTTATGAGCATTTTAATACTCATCTGTAGATCTTGCCTGTGGCAATTATTACTATAGTGTTCTAATAGTGGTTTTCTGTTTCCCTCATGCTTTCTATGTCTATTAATCAGAATTCATAAGAATGGAAGATTTGACCCTCCTTTCCCATTAATTTATTAATTCCATCATTTATAATTGTCACATTAAGCATGGGAGTATAAGACTGCAATATGGTCTCCTCCTGCTCATCCAGCCTACTGTCTCTGTCTTCTGCTCACACACAGCCATTTTGAGCCTCAAGAATTCACCCTAAATGTCCATGTCCTCATGCTCCATGTCTCCTTTCATGCTAGTCTCTTCCTGTAAAGTGTCATTCTCCCAAACTTGCTGAGTTAGAGCTGGTTGCTCTTTGCCCCTGAAAACAGCTCAAACTGTTTATAAGCACCAATTATTAGAAACCACTTAAACGTTCATTGGTAAGGACTAATTTGTGACATCTATAAAATGAGATACTTTGCAACACTTAAAAAGAAAAAAATAAAAGGGGCCAGGGTTGTGGCTTAGTGGTAGAGCRTTTGCCTAATATATGTGAGGCACTGGGTTCGATCCCTGGCACTACATAAAAAAATAAACAAATAAAATAAAGGTATTGTATCCATCATCTACTCTCTCTATATCTATATCTATATCTATATCTATATCTATATAATATATAGATATAATGTAATGATAGGAAACATATCCAAGACTTATTTTTAAGTGA